TTATCTATCTATCTATCTATCTATCTATCTATCTATCTATCTATCTATCTATCTATCTATCTATCTATCTATCTATCTATCTATCTATCATACACACATAAACTGATACCTCATGAACAACTACAACGTCATGTGGCGAGGAACATGAATTGTATTGTGCAAAAACATATTCTACCTATGACCGGTAGTCTATTTGTTTCATGTTTTCTCTCACTCTCTTGCCCTTTTAACTCCCAGTGGAGCACAGGCCATCAACAACATTACTCCAGCGAAGCCTGTCCTGAGCATCCTTTTCTATCTGTTTCCATGATGTCCCCGCTTTTTCAATTTCCGCTTGTACTGCTCGCCTCTATGTCATTTTTGGTCTTCCCTTCTTACGCTTTCCTTTTGGGTTCCACGTTTCATGTTTTAGTAAGCGATTAACAACACTCTCAACACGATTAGGTCACAGAAGAGTCGAAGATAAGAGATGTTACAAGAGAGTAACAAACATATTAAAAAGGAGAAGGAGAGATAATGGTGATAGATGTTTGATAGGAAAGAAGGAGCAGGCTACACCAGAACACACGTCAACCACCCACGTAACCTACTGAATGCAAGCACGACATGCGCCATTGGCCATGTGCCTGACCTTGTGCAAGGGCGTATGATAGTATGTTATGTAAGTGAGGTGGGTTACTTTTTGGTTTTCTTTTGGGAGGTAGGGTGTCTAAATATGCGACCTGTCCGTTAAGCCTACAGTGCCTGATAGTAACTTGAGGACAAAATTTGGGTAATAGGCTTACGCAAACCCGGGGTCCTTGACCAAAAATGATTTATTTATAGAGGCACCAGCCATCCATGTCCAGGTGCTGTTTGAGCCTAAACCGCACACCCGGGGTCTAAACTCGCGAGGTCTAAACTCTCTTGGGCCGCATAAGCGCTTTCAACTTATTGATGGGTTGGGGGGGGGGGTGTACTTGAACAGGTTTTTGTACGCGATGAATGACAAGGACGTCAAGATATGGGTGTGTTAGTGGGAAGATATTGATGCAGAAGGAGCATTAGGGGGACATGGGTATTGGGGCTGCAGTGGGCAAATGTGGCTGGGGATAGGATCGGAATAGTCGTTGTGGAAGACGAAACATTTCCAGATGGCTCCCTTAAACTTGAGCAGAGATGGCTTGCTGTTTATCGTGAGAGAAACAATATAGAATAATTCGTTGGGAATGATTTTAAAGAGCACCAGAAGCAAGTCATCCAGAAGGAATGAATCAAGGAATGCCTTGTTGACAGAACCACGCTTCTGTACGGAACCGTCTGGCAAGACTGGTTTTGACGCTGGGAATTTGCTCAGCAAATATGTGAGGCAGCGTGGTGGAATCAGGCTTTCGTCAAAATAATCAAAGTGAAAAAACTTGCATTTTTCCACAGGTTTGTGAATTTTTATATAATTTTTGTTTTTTGGCTCAACACCTTTCATACCCATTAAAGAACTCATTTCTCAGTGGAATTTTCTGAAAAACATAGATTAAAGGCACCAAAAAATGTAAATTTTCAGTTACCACGGACTCTTAAGCTATGGAAATAACTAATTTTTGGTGGCCATTTTCTCACTAATTTTACCTCTGAAAACAGGTGACCCTCACCTTCTTCTTTTGCAAAGATCTCGACTTGTATTTAAGGCAAATAGATATTTTTCATCCAAATAAAGACAAATGAACAAGCTTTAAGATAATACCAATAACTCTACATGTCCAAAAATTGACGAGAGCCTGATTCCACCACGCTGCCTCACATATTTTCTCTGAGGGCATGCGCGGGAAGCAACAAACATGTACAGATTGAGTCATCCAAATAAAACAGGTAAAACGAGCTGCACTTTCACTTAGTAAACTCATATGTTTGAAAAGATAACACCCATAGGTCGCTTGGTGCCAGGGGCAACTTACAACAATAAACAATAACCTTGTGGCACGCACCCACTCAAACGATGTCTCATGTGTAATGGTTAGACTTTTTGCACTTGCAAGTAAAAGTTGCGGGTTCAATTCTCGCGTGGGGGTAATATTTTTGTATAGTACCCCCGTCCGTTTGTTGGGATACTGTATCCCTTTCAGCCGGTAGCAGCATATCAGGCAGTGTCGAAGCAACCCGCATCGATATTGAGATATTAGTGTCACTGGGGCCGTAAAAACTTACACAATCGAGTATGATTTACCATCTAAGCATCCACTAATCCTCGTTGTTAAACAAAGAGTCCAACTTGTGATCTGTACAAGACGATGTACTCACCCGACCCACAAACCACTACTAAACATCGCCGTCACCTCTTTCCGAATTACGCTTTACGACACCGTCGATGCCTGAAGAAACGATAGACATGAGACAGATAACATGCTGGGAATAATCGCTAGAAGACACTTTCAAAAACGCCACCGTGTGCAATAAACCTGACGTCACCTACATGCCGCTGTGTAAACAGTTGTGGGGAGATGGGCAGACCGCAGGGTAAATGAATCCACCCGGATTTGTTTACTGCTCATGTTTTTTTGTCAGGCCTCAGACGCAAATAAAGGGTGGTTTATCTATGGATGGGAAGCACAAATAATGTGTGGTTTATCTATGGATGGGAAGCACAAATAATGTGTGGTTTATCTATGGATGGGAAGCACAAATAATGGGTGGTTTATCTATGGATGAGAAACACCCGGCGAGGACAGAAGGACGGGTGGATGGGTGGAAGGGGGGAGGGGAGGGGGGAGAATCAGAAATTAAAAGTCAATGATTTTCAAAACTTCGTGTTTGATTATTTGTATGTTTTGGGGGCTTTTCTCCCTGTCCGTGAGGGAAAGCAAATATTCCATTAATGGTCACAGGAGAAAGAAAATAAAGTGTTTTAAATTATTTCAAACTTCTAGATGATAAAAATTGATTGGTCTGTGTGTGTGTGTATTCAAGTGTGCATTTGCAAGTATAGCTTTCTTATGTGTGTCTGTATCTGTGTGTGTTTTGAAGCGTGTGTTTGCAAATATGTGTTTACAGGTTTGTATTTGAATTGTTTATTAATGCCATGTGCTCCATTTACTTATCTGGATGCTTATCTCTCGTATATTATTATCGACCTTGGACGTGTTTCTGGATTTACGTAAGCGTGAAATTCTTGGTAAACATTTCCTTTTCCTTTCCAGGAAATTTTACTTCTCAATCCGGATCACCGACTGTATACTTGCTTCTTTTTTTGCAATTTTTAAAAACGACTTTCTTTATTCTTGTGTGAAGCATAGCATAATGGAATGAAGAAATAAAAGCAACAGCTATTCTGCATATCTGCTGACATTATCAGGTCTCTCGAGGTATTCTCCTAAAAAATGGGGTATGGCAAACGGACAAGAAGAAGAAGAAGAAGAAGAAGAAGAAGAAGAAGAAGAAGAAGAAGAAGAA